ATTGGGAAAAATTCACTTTCCCTACTTTATCTTTACCCTATTTCAAAAATAACAAAACAACTTTTACATTTCAAAAATCAGATTTTTTAAACTATATATACACATATTTATAAATATTTATTTAATTCTTTAAATATATAAAAAGATATAAATAAATAAATAAATAAATAAATAATAAATAAATAAATATATATATATATTTTATAAATTAATCATCCAATTTGCATTTGACTCAACAGTAAGAAAAGTTCCACTTGTAATAATTGTTTAAATTACTTGATCATCTTGCACATTTTATAAGGTCCACTCTTAAATACTCCAATGTACTTATATACCAACCCGGCTTGACTTTTGACCTTGAACGTGACATGCCAAATATAAAAATTATCACCATAAACAAATTGAACGGTATCGAACTTTACACGACAATAAATAAATCACGTCAAGTGTTTTGATCTTCGTTCTTGTCCATTTTTTACGTGTTAAACATGTGCTAAAGTGTTGTGTAACAAAATATAATCTTTTAACACAAGATTACATAATACAATATCGTTGAAAAAATGATTGATAATACAGTATCAATAAATTGGTTGTCGGTGGATGCTTCAATAAGTTTCTGTTTGACACACATTCTTTAAAAATACATTCTGTCAAAACTCATTTTCAACTGCACATTCATTTTACATCACATTAATAGTTTTTACTTACTTTTTAATAACATATTTCCCATCATATCACTATTTAAAATATATCATTTTCTCAATAATATCCATCAAACACACCATTAACACTTATTTTTATAACTTTTGCATATGCATTTTTCACGTTTTTAGTCATTTAAAAAATGTAATGTATGTATTCATTTTACATCACATTAAATTACTCAAATAAATTACGTGTTGACAAATTAGTCAATGTTTTTTGCATGGGCCACTTGGAAGGGCCTTATTGTCGTCATAGGTAGTTTACAGTCTTTTCCTGGGTGGTTACATACTTCATACGATAAGCAAAGTTGCGCGGAAGTGGAAAGGAAAATCAAACGCAAAACGTTATTTCTGAAAAAACAAGGACTCGGAACATGGCGGAAAAGTCATTTAAAACATTAAATTTTATAGATTACATATTTAAACTTCTCGATCTTTGTTTATTGTAACAATTATTTCTTTAACGTTTTTTCGTAGAATTTTAATTTTCAACATTTCATTAGTTAGTACGTCTTGTTCTCGATGATGATGATTTATGTCAAAGTATTTTATTTGGAAAATGCTACATGTACAATATATGAGTTACAACCTCTCACAAAGGAGGTGGGCCCCACGATTAAAATAATAGTGGGCTCCACCTCCCTTGTGAGAGGTTGTAACCCAACATTGTACAATGAGCATTATTCATTTTATTTTCATGCATTGAAATGAGTGAAAATTTGAACTTTTAATTAATTTATTTTTTAAAATATGATGAGAAAATAAGTTGTTTTATGTCATTTCAATTGATTTTTGGATATAAAATAGCTTATAAATTTTACTAAACTGAGGCTTATCAAAGTTTGAAGTAAAAATATGGATTCTTAAAGTGAAATAGTGGTGAAAGGCACAAAGACTTGTACAAGACTTCATGTTTTTATTATTATTATTTTTTTTTTAAGGATGAATAATATTTGATCCACGAAATATGTTATTAATTCTAATTGTGAATATAATTGAAATTAATACTTGAATTTGAATGAATGAGAAAAAGTAACTTTAAATTTTACAAGTGAGGCTTAAGGTGACAAAACAATGCTATATTCTGGTTTTGACTGGAAATTTGTGTGTTGATTGTTTCATGGTGGAAAATGGCACTGGAAAAAGATCATTTCCACGAGGTTTCGAACTCAACCTGAAGTCTTGTAATGCAAACATTTTGTTCCACAAATAATCTGAACTTCAATGGAATGTACAATCAATTTCCGGAAAATTTCCCAGAAACATATGCAATTATTTTCCAAAATTTTAATGGAAAGTAGAGTTGTTTTCCAGAAAATTTCCAACCATATGCATGATTTTCTGTTTTTCTATGTCCCCTCTTCACTTCGAACAACCTTCGCAATACAAAACTACTTTAATTCGTTTCTTATGAAATTGTGCCTTCAAAGTTTTGACCTTCACCAACCCCCAAAATATTAGATATTTCTGGTGCAAAAGACGAGATATAACACTAAAGTAACATGGAAAAAAGGAAAGGAAAGAAAGAAAAAGGACTTGCTAAGCAAGAAAATATAGCAAAGGGAATAATGCTTGAATGGTCAAAATGTCGACTGAAATATCTAATTTATATTGTTCTTGATTTTACCCCATCTTGCATGTATATAATATGAGATAGTTTAATTACTTGGATATTTATCGATTTTTACGTCTAGTGCGATAAAATAGATCGGTCGAGGCTACAAACGGATACATGCATGTTCAAAGGTTCGACATAGACCGTATTTGTTAATGATCCAGTCTAATCGATCCAAATAAGTTTTTGATTTACAATTATTTTCTAAATTGTTTTAAGAAGAAGGTAAGATCAAATTAAGGCTGCGAGGGGATGACTCACATTGAAAGCTATGCAGGTCGATTTATTGGTTCAAATTACAACCATAGAGGCTGAATTGGAAAATATTGATTTTTCTTAAATATTTTAAAATTACAATATGAATCAATTGGAAGAAAAAATATGTGTTGTGAATTAAGAACTAATTAGTGAATGGCAATTTTATCTGTGTAGCCATAATTATTATTACTATCGTAACAATTCAATTCTAATTCTTTCATATAAATATAGGGTTTTTAGTACTCTTCACATCATGCCACATTGAGTTGGTTGCAGGGGTCTCAATGTGGTAGGGGATATTTTCCAAGCCTGATTTGATGGCAGGGGGATTTTTTCTCTTTTTCAGGGGAAAAAACAGCTGACAAGATAGCATTATATTAAGTACTCGTTTAGTAAAAGTCAATAATAACGGCTAATTTTTCAATTTTAATTCGATTTTAATTTCTACTGAACACGCTCTAAATATTTGAAGATGATGCATTATATGCATAATGTCCGTATATGTATGAATACATAAAATTAAGTATTATCATCTTTATTATATATTCTAAAAGAGGAAATGATTATTGGTTTGGTCTTTAGATAATATTGGCATTCTCAACATTAGAAATTGTTTCAATAAAACTTTTGATAATTCTTAATAGGGTAATTAATACGTAACGTTCTCACCTTTCATTATTATTGTGGAAAAAGTTATTATCTTTTTTTTTTTTTTGACATTTTCATCTTTATTTCCATATTTCATTGCACAAAAGATGCTTATCATCTATATTCTCAATTAAAAATTGTGAAATTACGAATATACAATCCTCTTTAAATAAATTAAAAATAAAAAGAAAAAATTCAATACAATCACAGTCCCAATTTTTTTAAAAAAGTGTAAATAAGTCCCAAATAAATTATTAAAAGGGTAATTAGCACATAATTTTCCCACCTTTCATTATTATTGTGAAAAATTTCATACCTTTCATTTTTTTGGTACTTTCACCCTTAATTACACATTTGATTATGCAAACCGTTATTTCTATTAATTTTCATCCAATTTCTCAATAAAGAGTTGTGAAATGATGAATATACCATCCTATTTAAATAAAAAAAGCTAAAAAATTAATTGGAATCATAGTCCCAATTGTTTTAAAAAAGTGTAAACGAGCCCCAAATAAATTATTAGAATTTTAAAAAAAAAGTGCAAATGAGTCACAATTAAATGCGCAATTAAATGTGTAATTAAGGGTGAAAAATATAAAAAAAAAAAAAAGAAATGTATAGACATTATGTGCTAATTTCCTTTTTAATAATTTATTTGAGACTCATTTACGCTTTTTAAAAACACTTTGGTACTATATTTGCAATTAATTTTTTCCTTTTATTTTATTTAAAAACTTTCTTAAAAAGTTTGAGACTATGGTTGCAATTAATTCTTTATTTATATATAATTTTTATTTAAATAGAATGATATATTCGTCATTTCACAATTTTTAATTGGGAAAATGGATGAGAATGACCTTTTGATCAATAAAAGGTGGAAATAAGAGTGAAAATGTCTAAAAATG